AAGAGACTCCGCCCTTCGGCGTAGCCTCGTTCGGGTTCCTCCCAGCCCGAAGTCAGAGAGTTCAACCGATCAGCCTGTCAACCGGTCGTCCGACTTCGGACTGAACGGTATTTAGTCACCCTCCCACGAGGGCGTCATGTGGCATAAGGCCTTTTTAACGTGGGATCTCCGAGCCCGTGGGATCTCCGAGCCCGTGGGATCTCCGAGCCCGTGGGCTCGGCTAAAAATATGCCCATTGAACCCGTATAAACGGGTTCAGGGACGGTTTTCCTCCCCGAAAGAGAGTCCGCCCTTCGGCGTAGCCTCGTTCGGGTTCCTCCCCGCCCGAAGGCAGAGAGTTCAACCGATCAGCCGATCAGCCAGTCGTCCGACTTCGGACTGAACTCCCTGCTTCCTCTTGAGGCGCAGTATTTATTACGTATGGAATAGTCCATTATGTTATTATGGGTAAGGTCCCATAACAGAAAGCTTGGAAAATTTGACACAAGGCATATTGAAAGCAAGAGGAACTGAGGAAAGTAGCTAATATTTCTCCCTGGCGTTCTTGCGTAAATGGTGCGTTGAACAGGAATTAACATAGATATTGACAAGACAAAAGTTATTAGGAGGTACAAAGGACAGGAAGATGTGGAGAGCCATCATTGGCCACGTCCTGAAGGGACACGACACATAGAAATAAAAGATGTTTTTTGAGGTTTTCTTTTTTATGTGCAATGTTTACAAGAGAAGGTATCAGTGTCAGGAATGCTACAGCGTCGTACCGATTTTGCATTTTGAACAACACCGACTGAGAGAGACAGACGACACTTGACACAGAAAAACAGGGACGGTGCCGAATATACGAGAAAGTGCATAGTCATTTCAGTTTAATAAATCAGAAAGAAAGAAAGAAAAACAGACTGAACGAAAGAGAGAAAGAAAGAAAAGAAGAATGGGTAGAAATAAGAGATAACTTAAAAAAGAAAATGCGCGAGACATAATAGTGTTGTCGACGATATTTTCTTTTGTTTTTATATTCTAAAATCTATTTTCATTGTGCGCCATGAAATATGGAAGTAACACTATTAAAAATCCTTGAATAGATAGATAGATAGATAGATATATAGATACGAATAGACTGAGATAGATAGATAGATAGATAGATAAATAAATATGAAAGAACAAGTATAGATAGATATGAAGAGACGAGGATAGATAGATAGATAGATAGATAGATAGATAGATAGATAGATGGGAAGAGGATGTTTTTATATATGAGGGAATGATCATGGACTGGTTTTCCGTTGCATTCTAAAGAGTGTGCCAGTCAATAATAGGGAGCCTAGACTTTCTACAATTTTACCCAGTCTGTTGAAATCTATCTATCTATCTATCTATCTATCTATCTATCTATCTATCTATATATATATATATATATATATATATATATATATATATATATAAACATGCATACATTTTTTGTTTATACGTTATTTTTTATAGATACAAATATTTAAGCGTTTCGGTTAGCAAGGTCGATTTTACTGTCTTTAAACTACAATCTTCCATGATTCTCTCACGTACATTCATACCTACACATGGCGTATCCAAATGACGTCACACATTATGAAATGGACAAAGTCCGACAATTATCTTTAGACATTTTTATGTTTATATATGATTTTTATAGATACAAATATTTAAGTAAATGCTCTGTTTATAATAAATATGATATGAATGTACGTGAGAGAATCATGGAACATTTTAGTTTAAAAACAGTAAGAATGACCTTGCTAACTGAACGCTCCTCTGTGGCCCAGTCGGTAAAGGCACATCAGGCTATATGACGGTTCCGTATAGGATACAGATTTGATTCCTGTCGGAGGACGAATATTTTCTAGGAAAATTTCTCGGATATTCCGGCCGGTTAATGTTGTTTAATACTGTTTATTATAAACAGAGCATTTATTCAAATATTTGTATCTATAGAAAGATTGTATAAACATAAAAATGTCTTGAAATATATATATATATATCCGGTCGTGTTTTCGACATTGGATATTATGTATATTCACTAATATATGTCGGTCGAATGCAGATAGATCACTCTGACTGACAAAATTGGTTGTGTTTCGATCCTGGCTTAAGGCATTCGGATGTCTAGTCGCCCTGAAACAATGCTGTCTGCGAATGACGCATATATATATATATATATATATATATATATATATATATATATATATATATATAATTACATATTACTGTCACATCCATATCCAATATATTTGGTTTAATAATCTGGAATTCTAAATTTGCTTAAGTTTTGAATTTCTTTTTTATTATTGTTAGAATTGATTTATATAATATTTATGCTTTCAAAATCAGGAAGAAAGGGATTGTTAGTGGTCAGGAATAAATGCAATCATTACTGACAGTATCGGGAAATTATATGCATCATCTAAATGCATCATGTATTATAATTGTGCATGCCCCTCTCCCCGGTCTTTCCGGCAAAAGGTTACGCGCTGCCATTATCTGATAAATAATGGTTTCTTCCGGCTTTTTAGCGTAGAAAAACAAAAGCATCTGCTACTTGGTTTCAGTGATAATACGAATGGAAGAAATGAAGAAAAGAAAGAAAGGGTTTACCGTTTGTTTCAGTGGAATAGAAAGCGTTTTCATTTTTAAAACAGTTTATTTGTACCCACTTCTTAAAATAACATCCATCTTTTGCATTTACGATTCTTATTGCAATATTTTGTTAAAGTTGTTAAACTCAAATATTTAACGATATTATGTCACGGGAATTTCGACATGAGTTTATACACTCATTTACGGAATTAAAATAGTTCAATTTGGAAAAAAAATATGAAATTTTCATGGATCTTTCTAGATGATAATGATTTTACTAGACGAATGAATGGAAAACCAGGACGAAAGGTACTGTCAGTGGTCAGGAATGAATGCAAGCATTACTGATAAAAACCACAACGAACGGCCATTTGCAATTTATATCCCTTTGTGATACAAAAGAATTGCTGGTGGGTGGAGTTTATGAGGATTGCCCTGTGAGTAAGGACAACGTTCAGCATCGAGCCGATCAATCTGAAATGGATGTGGCGACACATCCAATAAATATTTCTGAGTAATATACACAAAGGCATGCAATCCACTGAGCGTAGTGTACGACAAGCCCGAATGCTCACAATGAGAGTGCTTTAAGATGAACACTGAGTACAGACAGATAGGTATAGAGTGAGATAGATAAAGAGAGAGAGAGAGGGGGCGAGAGATAGATAGATAGATAGATAGATAGATAGATATCAATAGACTGCGATAGTTAAATAAAAACACATATAGATAAGAACAGATTGGTATAAATAATTAAATAGATAAAAATAGACTGGGATAGATAAGAACAAATACATATCAGTAGATAGATAGATAGATAGATAGATAGATAGATAGATAGATAACAATCGGCTGTGATAGATAAAAGCAGACTGCGATAGATAGATAGATAGATAGATGATAGATAGATAACAATCGGCTGTGATAGATAAAAATCGGACTGATAGATAGATAAATGAAGATAGATAGATAGATAGATAGATAGATGGATAGATAACAATCGGCTGTGATAGATAAAAGCAGACTGCGATAGATAGATAGATAGATAGATAGATAGATAGATAGATAGATAGATAGATAACAATCGGCTGTGATAGATAAAAGCAGACTGCGATAGATAGATAGATAGATAGATAGATAGATAGATAGATAGATAGATAACAATCGGCTGTGATAGATAAAAGCAGACTGCGATAGATAGATAGATAGATAGATAGATAGATAGATAGATAGATGGATAACAATCGGCTGTGATAGATAAAAAAGCAGACTGCGATAGATAGATAGATAGATAGATAGATAGATAGATGATAGATAACAATCGGCTGTGATAGATAAAAGCAGACTGCGATAGATAGATAGATAGATAGATAGATAGATAGATAGATAGATAACAATCGGCTGTGATAGATAGAAAGAGACTGCGATAGATAGATAGATAGATAGATAGATAGATAGATAGATAGATAGATATAAACACCATCAGATAGATAAGAACAGAAATAGATAGATAAATAGATAGATAGATAGCAATAAACATAGAAAAGAACAAACTGTGGTAGATAGATAGATAGATAGATATAGATAAGAACAAACTGTGGTAGATAGATAGATAGATAGATAGATAGATAGATAGATAGATAGATAACAATCGGCTGTAATAGATAAAATCAGACTGCGATAGATAGATAGATAGATAGATAGATAGATATGAAGAGCTTCAGATAGATAAGAACAGAGATAGATAGATAGATAGATAGATAGCAATAGACATAGCAAAGAACAAACTGTGGTAGATATATATATATATATATATATATATATATATATATATAAAAAAGAACAAACTGTGGTAGATAGATAGATAGATAGATAGATAGATAGATAGATAGATAGATAACAATAGACTGTGATAGATAACAATAGGCATAGAAAAGAATAAACTGTGGTACATAGATAGATAGATAGATAGATAGATAGAAAGAAAACTCATCATAACCATGCAGATTGTGAGAAAAAAAAATACTGTTCCACTCTGGGTCGTGTTATGTGACCGTTGACGTCACTATTGTCATGGCTGCATATAGATGACCCTCGAGGCCTCTGGGCAAGATGTGTATCGTTCACGTTTCGTCAAATTTCAGTTTTTATAGCCCTTGACAATATTCGAGCCATGAATGATGGCGTGCATCTGATGTGTAGGTAGGGATTAGTGTTTCCAAAGCACAAACCTAGAACCGAATGACAGATCGATATTACTGCTGATTGGATCGCTGCTGCTGTTGAGATTATATGCGCATCAATAATCCAAAATAGATAAACACCTGGGGAGATAGAGACAAATTACGAATGCGCTGGTCATGGTACAATAGCTTCGGGTATCTGCGATCATGACTGGGACAACTGTTGTCAAAATATGCGACAAACAAGAATATCAAATCTCTAGTAAGTCTCTTGTGTTTTCTTAAAGTAAAACTAGATTCATCGTCCTTATTATTAGGAAGCCCAGCCCAGGTCTATTCAGAAGTTCTCTCAGCGATATCATGATTTTGATTAGTGTCGTAGTTCATCTCTAGACTGTCTAGCGATTAACGTTGAAGTTCTCCTTCGAAATTCTTTGTCAAGCAAAGACAGACAGTTCCGTAGACCTTGCTATTCCTTGGGGTATTTTGTGCCTTTCCCGCAAGTATTATTGTGAAGGGATTACAGACTCAGCTGGAATTTCAACTCGGCTCGTGGTTTCCATTTTGTATGAATTCCTTATCTATCTATCTATCTATCTATCTATCTATCTATCTATATCTGTTCATATCTATCTAATATTCTGATTCTTTTCATATCTGTGTCATAAATATATATATATATATATATATATATATTTTCTGTCTCAATCGCTCACCATATATATAAAAATGAGAGACAGAATATATATATATATATATATATATATATGTTTGAATTCATATATATATATATATATATATATATATATATATATATATATATATATTCATATCTGTATTGTATTGCTACCTATCGCAGTACGTTCAGATCTATATAAGTCTATACATCCATTTATCTATATCTCTACTTCTTTCTATCTGAATATATTCTTCTCCTCGACAATTCCCTATATCTATATCTATCTATCTATCTAACATCTATCTATCTATCTATCTATCTATCTATCTATCTCAGTTATTCATTTCTATCATATCTATCTATCTATCTATCTATCTATCTATCTCTATTCCTTTTCTATCTATCTATCTATCTATCTATCTATCTATCTATCTATCTATGTCTGTTCATATCTATCTAATATTCTGATTCTTTTCATATCTGTGTCATATATATATATATATATATATATATATATATATATATATTTCTGTCTCAATCATCACCATATATATAAAAGGTGAGAGACAGAATATATATATATATATATATATATATATATGTTTGAATTCATATATATATATATATATATTCATATCTGTATTTCTACCTATCGGTGTGTTCAGATCTATGTAAGTCTATACATCCATTTATCTATATCTCTACTTCTTTCTATCTGAATATATTCTTCTCCTCGACAATCTCCTATCTATCTATCTATCCTATCTATCTATCTATCTATCTATCTATGTCTGTTCATATCTATCTAATTTTCTGATTCTTTTTCATATCTATCATATATATATATATATATATATATATATATATATATATTTCTGTCTCAATCTCTCACCATATATATATGGTGAGAGACAGAATATATATATATATATATATATGTGTGTGTGTGTGAATATATATATATATATATATATATATATATATATATATATATATATATATATATGTTCATATCTGTATTGCTATCTATCGCAGTGCGTTCATATCTATGTAAAGTCTATACACCCATTTTAGCTGTCTCCTTCTTTCTATCTCAATATATTCTTCTCTCTCGACAATTACCTATATCTATCTATCTATCTATCTATCTATCTATCTATCTATCTATCTATCTATCCTATTCTTTTCATATCTATTTATCTAAGTCTGTTAATATCTACCTAACTGGCTATTTCTTCATAATTTATTCCAATCTGTCTTAGTATGTTCATACCTATCTTTTATTCTTCTCATGTCTATCTATCTATCTATCTATCTATCTATCTATCTATCTATCTATCTATCTATCTAGCTATCTAGCTATCCTATTCTTTTCATATCTATCTATCATAGGCAGATTTGAAGAGAATGAGATAGATAGTTCAGAACAGAATGAGATAGATAGATAGATAGATAGATAGATAGATAGATAGATAGATAGATAGATAGATCCTAAGCCTGATATATAGAAAGAATTGCAACTCCCTCCTTGCTTTCGACGTAAACAAAATGTCTCCCTCTATTCAAATCAATCAAATCGCGTCCCTTGCAGCTGCCTGAAATTATTCATAAAGTCCGCTCCACAAATCTAACCTGAAATAATACACGTCAGATAATCCAGAAATTAAATTAGCATAAAAAGAAAAATACTTGAGAACTTGCATTTTCTTTCTTTATAAATAATTGCGTCTCAGAGATTTTCTTGTGGCAATGAATTTGTTTCAAAGGAATTTAGAAAGAAGTCCGACACGCGTTTATTACATAGCCACTTGTTTTTCATTATTGTATGTCTTTATGTACACTTAATAAGCTAATAAATGATGGAATTGAAACCAATTGACACACCGTAACATTCCGCTCTTAAACCCTTACATGGGGGAGTTAACCAATAACTTTTTTTACAACCGTCCACACTACTTTAAATCTATTAATATTATTATCATCGTTATATTAAGATTTCTTCTATGGTCACAACTACGTACTAAGTTTGCGGTAAGATCTAATCCAGGAAGTTGTGTGTTGTTATGGCTACAGTTCATGATTTGTTTTTCTAACTCACATAAAATCACTAGCGTTATATGGACAAAGTTCTTCTTAGTGTGTGGGCTGTAACTGTCAAGATAATTTGTATATTTCTCTTAAGCTGGGATTTCCAGAGTTTTTTTTTTTATGTTATTGTGTTCCTTTTTTATCATTCCAAGCGCACCGTCTATAACCCTTATTACCGTGGTTTTAATTTCCACATTTTTCTAGTCGATTTCCAGGTCTTTATACTTCGATGGTTTTTCAAATTCCTTCTTGCTATGTTGCAGTCCGCTGAGCAAGCAATATCAATTAGCAGGATTTTTTTCTCTTTGTTTTGACAATTATATCCGTTTATATTTGTTTGCTTCAAAATTCCTGGCGTAATCCCATAAAAATATGATGTCTCCTTCACATGGTGCTGGGTGACGTTCATACCAGTGTTTGTTAACATATTTTCAGAATTTTTGCACATTGTCCAGTGTAAATATTGCCCCACTCTATCGTGAGGATTTGTATACTCATTTGGCGCAAATACAGAGATTAGATGGTCCTTAGTTTTCTGATATTTGTCACAGAAGAATCATTTTGAATCCATACTGTTGTGTATGATATTTTGCCTGAAAGTTCCTAGTGAAAAAAAATCTGGCTTTTCGCCGGAAGAATAAAGCCTTCCGTTTCAGCCTCTAATCCAGATGCTCATAAACATCGATAAGTGTTAACTTTATCTACATAGGCTTTATTAGCCTCGTTCTGGATATTCACCATGCAGAGGTTTGTCTTATCAGCGTTCTTTCAACTGTTCAAGAACTTTATTCTTGGCTTTCTTTTTCATATTTTTTTCTGTAATATTTATTTCTTGTGTTCTGCTTTGGTATCGTATAGAGTATTTACAACATTCTTTCATGATTGAGTTTTATTATGATTATTAGTATCATTAGTGTTATGGTCCAAGGTTAAGACCAAGGAAGAACAACACGAACACAAGAGTAGAAATAACGAAGGTATATTACACGAAATAATAATACAAGATGTGGAAGGTGTTAGTATGACTGTCAGTCTGGTTTGGAGTGAACTACTATCGGCTCGACTCGATTCGGTATCTAGCCCACGAGGGTTGCATGTGACACAAGGCCGAGTTTAACGTGGGTTTCCCGAGGCCGTAGGCTCGGCCGAAAAATGCCCGTATAACCCGTATAAAAGGAATCGGGTTGGTCAACCTCCCCGAATGAGACTCTGCCCTTCGGCGGAGCCTCGTCCGGGTTCCTCTCTGCTCAGTGGCAGAGAGTTCGACCGTCAAGTCGAGAAGCTCGGCTTGATTCGGTATCTAGCCACCCCCCCCACGAGGGTTGCATGTGGCACAAGGCCGAGTTTACCGTGGGTTTCCCGAGCCCGTAGGCTCAGCCAAAAAATGCCCGTATGACTCGTATAAAAGAGATCGGGTTGGTCATTTTCCCCGAACAAGATTCTGCCCTTCGGCGGAACCTCGTCCGGGTTCCTTTCTGCTCAGAGGAAGAGAGTTCGACCGTCAAGTCGAGAAGATCGGCTTGATTCGACCCTCCCCCTTGAGAGGCGTAGTATACATAGTGTTAGGAAGAGTTAATTCTGTAGTTATAGGCAAGGATCCATGACAATTTTTAAAATTATTATTATTAAAATTGTTATTATTATTATTATTATTATTAAAATTATTACTCAATGATCTATCAGAAAATTCAAAGTTAAGCAAGACAACCATCACATATTGTACATTTTTAGAGCCAATATTGACATATGTTTCAGTTGCATGCTATCACGTTGGCGGGATTTCGTGAGTTTTGACGCGTTGATTACCAGAACAGCCGTTTTTGTCTTTTTTGTTGGTTTTTGTTGTTTTTTTTTCTTTTCAGTAGAATTTTTCACAACACGCTAATTTACAAAACTCTACATTTCGTTCAATTTCGCAAACCAGGCGATGAAATTTGAATAAGCTGATTTGTTCGGAAAATACTTTAACAAAACCCAATTCCCCCGTTCAATAATTTCTTTAATATGACTTCATGGTGAAGAATATTTTTTTTTTAATTTGGTTTCGATCGGTCAATGTTTGGCTATTTTAGACAGTGTGACGGACGGAAATCAAATAATTTTTTATATAGCTATTTTCCAAGCGTAGCTTAGATGTGGCACAAGGCCGAAAGTATGGGGCATCCAGTGAGGATCGAACTCACTTTTCAGTTGTAATTGATCTAGCGAGACAAGCCACGCCGAGATGCCTAAATAATTTTTTATATAGATAGATTACAAGGCAACGTTTGCACAAAGACATATAATTTAAAGTAAATTTATATATTTTTATACTTGGAATATTTTTTAATAAGACTTGAAGAAATCAGACATACTTCAGTATCTGTCTATATTTCTGTGATGAGGTATTATGTACACTATTTACATTATTCGGACTATTGTCCTCATCTTTGTCGCCATATTTATTACAAAATTTCAGCCCTTCAGTATCTGTCTATATTTCTGAGATAAGGTATTATGTACACTATTTACATTATTCGGACTATTGTCTTCGTCTTTGTCGTGGGCTCAGGAGATTTTTGTGGCCGGGCATATGTGCTGATTCCTTAAGTTTACGAATTTTCCAAAGGTGCTCTTTGTCTATGATCTCAACTTGATCCCACAGAGGGCGGTGATCTCCCTTTTTTCTCCATATGTGTTTAGACACGCCTGATTTTTCCACTTCCCCGCGTGTTACAGCTTTCTGGTATTCTTGAAGCCTGTCTCCCCATTATATTTCTTTCCGCAGTTGCACGGGATAGCGTACACACAGTCTTTAGTCATGTTCTCCTCTGTTGGCGGGTGGGTGGTCTTACACGGGAGAGATATCTGCGAAGTGTCGTCCAGCTTTTGAAGGTTGTCCTGATGTTATATGGACCCAGATCCTTTTTATTTTCGCTGATAACCCCTTCACATAAGGCAGGCAGACTGTTTTCTGAGTGTTGTTGTCCTCCTCTTGTACCCGTCTATCCCAGTTTTGGGGAGCTGCTGCCATGTACCTAGGGTAGTTGTTACGTTGTAGGGTACTATTTATACTGATCAATTCTTTACCTAATGTCTTTCGGTCGCCACTTATGACTTTTGCTCTGTGTTGTAAGCAACGGACGATCCCTTTCTTTAAGCTTTATGGATGGTGGGAGTTGAAATTGAGGTACTGTCCGGTGAATGTTGGCTTACGGTATACGGATGTCTTGATCCCATGCGACAAAGATGAGGACAATAGTCCGAATAATGTAAATAGTGTCAGACATACTGTCGAAATATTATTGAACATTATCTAACACTTTTTTCTTTTCTTTTTTTTTTCTTTTCTTATTTTTTCTTAAGTGCTGGAAAATACTGGACGAGTTACGGCAATCATTTTGTCATTATTATTATTATTATTATTAGTCGTTGCTTTTGCTTTGTATACTACGAATTGGCACTATGCCCCAACTAGAGATTTCAAGAGACAACATTTTTTTTTTCTTACCAGAAATTGCAAACAGATAGGTTGCTATGAAATCAGAGGAAACAAAACTAATTGTGGTCACACATTCAGTTGAAAATAAAAATAAAACCATTCGTGATAATGGCTAATAGAATATTCGAAAGCGCTCTTACATATAGAAGATTGGGACAATTTTAGACACTTTATGTCCAGAAAAGAAAACACTTATAAGAACAAAAGAAAATTTAAAATAAAAAGCTTAATTGCAGTACGTTATCAACTGTATGAGACTACCGATTGTATTAGAAACAACGAGTGGAAATATATTCAAATCAGAATTCTAATTATGAATCACCACAAGCAAAATATGCAATTTTTTTTACTGTATTCAATAAGTAAAAATCATAAATTGTAAAACTAAAAGATTACAGAAAGGCTACCTACATTTTTCAACCGATTTCAACAAAACTTCACTTTTTTTTTTGGCATGTAGTGTTTCTTATTGTCTTGCACACTTTTTCCTTTATTTTTACATTCAGAATGCTTTAAAAATTCCATATATAAGACAATTGTTTATAATAAAATTCTATTCAATCGGTAGAGACTCATAATGATTGAAAACAATGTTTTGTTTGAGTTTAGGTTTGACCAATTCGTAAAAAAAAAAAAAAACTAATTAAGACATGCATGTCCGTCAACCTTAAACAATAATCTTTGTCAATTTTATTTTTCAGTCTTTATGATGGTGGATACTTGATCTATCTCTTACTGTTATATCCCCGGACAACGCCGGGATCTACTGCTAGTATAAGATA